CTTTACCTGACTGTATGTGGTACCTTTACCTGACTATATGTGGTATTTTTACCTGACTTTGTGGTACCTTTACCTGACTATATGTGGTATATTTAGCATAAACAAAGTAAAGCGGAAGTGATGACACCTCCAAAATCGAGCTATATATAGTCCATTAAGTCAGGCACGGCAAAAGGTACATGTGTTCACAAATACCAATGATCACAATATGGCTAACATAACACAGGCTAGTCTCTGTTCGATGCTTATGACATCACACGCTAGCTTTAACTCAAGAAAACCTCACAGTGCTTAGGAAGGCACTTATTGATTTGGAATAGAAATTCTAGTTTGCATTGTATTGAGGAAACATGTAGGACAGAGCAAGAGAGTCCTAGTGCTGTTCTACCACCATGGTAGACTCATTAGACTGGGATCCATGGTCTGAGACATATCACTTAAGGTTCCATGGGCTGAGACATGTCACTTAGGGATCCATGGTCTGAGACATGTCACTTAAGGTTCCATGGGCTGAGACATGTCACTTAGGGATCCATGGTCTGGGACATGTCACTTAGGGATCCATGGGCTGGGACATGACACTTAGGGATCCATGGGCTAGGACATGACACTTAGGGATCCATGGGCTGGGACATGTCACTTAGGGATCCATGGTCTTAGACATGTCACTTAGGATTCCATGGTCTGCGACATGTCACTTAGGAATCCATGGTCTGAGACATGTCACTTAGGGATCCATGGGCTAGGACATGACACTTAGGGATCCATGGGCTAGGACATGACACTTACGGATCCTTGGGCTGGGACATGACACTTAGGAATCCATGGGCTGGGACATGACACTTAGGGAAACATGGGCTGGGACATGACACTTAGGGAACCATGGTCTGAGACATGTCACTTAGAGATCCATGGGCTGGGACATGTCGCTTAGGGATCCATGGGCTGGGACATGACACTTAGGAATCCATGGGCTGGGACATGACATGTAGGGATCCATGGGCTGGGACATGACACTTAGGAATCCATGGGCTGGGACATGACNTTTACACAGAGAACACTGTTATTGATATTTTACACACAGAACACTGTTATTTATATTTTACACACAGAACACTGTTATTGACATTTTACACTCAGAACAACGTTATTGATATTTTACACTCAGAACAACGTTATTGACATTTTATACACAGAACAACGTTATTGACATTTTATACACAGAACACTGTTATTATCAATTATACACACAGATCACAGTTATTGACATTTTAAAACTGGTAGCTCAATTGGTAAAACATTGGTCAAAAGTTTGGATGTCTTGGTTCGAATCCTGGAGCAGTCTGGTCGTTCATTCCTCTTCTACTGTTACAAATCATAAGGGAGTGTGACATTAATGTCAGGTTGAGTAAAATGTCTTGGTATAGAAGCGTTGCTGTGATGGGGGGCCACAAGTCAAGGAAAAAACACACTAATCTGTATAGAAGTGCCCCAGTTGAATTTCTCATAGTGTAATCAATGAAAATAAAATAAACTTTTCAGAAGTGTTTGCACCATTTAAATAACTATTTTATGTCCTATTCTTGAATGCCATGCTAATGTGTCTTCCACATTTGTAGACAGACTATAGCAAAACTGGCTTACTACCTACCATAGGAAGTGTAATTTAGTTATTTTGCATCTCATATGAGTCACATGTGTCATTAAATGTTTTGAAGATTTTATCTAAAAGTGACAGAGTTTAAACCTTTGGTGTTCAAGAGATTTTGACATTCTATCTTGTTATAACATTAATACATACTAGGGCTGGGCTACAGATTTACCGTGACATGCCATAAGTTTTTCATATTACGTCATTTTCAAAATTGGATTCT